CCTGGTTTGCACCTTTCTTAGAGCATCTTTTGGCATAGCCAAGTTGCCAGCATCACTACTGTGTACTTTGAAGCCATTATTAAGTAAAATAAGGATTGCTTGAACACTCATAGACAGTATTGAGACAGTACATCTGATAGTTGAGATGCTACTAAGTGAGTAATAGATACTCTGGACCAAGCAATGATACATGTCTTCAGTGGGATGGCATAGGTCAACATTCATTGTGTCACTGAGAAAATCATGAAATTTAAAAGTAACAAATTGTTTATTCTGGAATTTTACATTTTACATTTTATGACTATAGTTGACGCTGGATAACTCTAGAAAGCAAAACCACAGATAAGCAGGGACAACTGCATACATGCAATTACAAGGTTCTGTACAGCTTCTTTATGGTTTCTAACTGAATTCAATTTGAATGTCATGTTTGCTGAGGTCCAAATTAGAATCATTCATGTCCACAGCCCTGATTTCAAATTCTGGGTCCATAAAAATAGTCTGTAAATTATATGAGGGTTTACTATTTGTTCAATTTCTGGAGGTGGGCTTTAAAGTCTTGTTTCTTGATTCTAGAATCTGTTAAATAAAGAATGCACTTGATTCATTTATAAAAAGAACATGGAGTCTGTTTTCTTTCAATCTTTGTCTTTCTAGATTAGTTCATTTGTCCCTCATAGACAAGTCTCTTATTATTTCAGAGAGTGATTTGATATCAAAATTGGTAGGGGACAATTTTTTTATTTTTGGTGGGACCAGGGTTTGAACTCAGGGCTTTATGCTTGCAAAGCAGGTGCTCTACTGCTTGAGCCACACCTCCAATCCATATCTGCTCTGGTTATTTATGGAGATGGGTCCTCACAAACTGGCCAGAGAGATAAATCAAAACAAAAATCACCGCATTCAATATGACTTTATTGTCTACTCTCGGAAGTTGCATGTGATTATTAAGCCCTAGAAATGTGGCTAGTACATATTAAAATGTATGATTATAGTTTACACTGAAGTAAAATGCCTCATTAATAATTTCTATATTGATTAAGTGTTAACATTTAAGAGTTAAATAAAATGTCCTTAATAGCCATGTTTTTCATTATCCTTTTTATACTATGATTACTAGAAAGTTTACAATTACTCAATAAAAAAATACATTAAATTATTTTAAAAAAATGGGTTTGGAGTAAAATTAGTTGAAATAAAACCAAAGGTTAGATTTTTTTAAAAATTAAACTAGAACCTCAGTGTTCTTCTTATAAATGAATGAAAATAAAGAAATAAACCAGGCCATGTGTTGCCATGAGAGACAGTACAGCTGGTATGCAGATGGTATAAAGGGCACAGGATCTCTAGGTTCAAGTCCTGGCTCCAGTCCTTACAACTTTTATGGTCTTTTGGGATTTGCTCAGCCTCTGAGCATGCCCAACTTCCTTGTCTGAAGAATGGGAAAAATGTAAGTTTTATTAACTGTGAAGAAGCAAATGAGGTGATTTAATTAAGATACCTAGAACAGTGCTAAATATGTAATAGGCTCAGAGTGAATATAAACTAGTCCCTTCAAAATAATAGTCCTTTCATAAATAAAGGGATTTGGTTCCCAACCACCATGACGCTATCCCAACCATGGACACCAAAATCTGCAGATGCTCAAGTGCCCCATGTAAAATGGTATGATATTGCATATGACTCCCTGTGTACTTTAAATCATTTCCAGAATACTTATAATATCTAGCACAATGTAAAAGCTATGTAAACAGAACTGGGTGCCTGTGGCTCATGCCTGTAATCCTAGCTACTCAGGCGGCAGAGATCAGGAGGATCAAGGTTTGGGGGCAGCTCAGGAAAAAAGGGAGACCCTACCTCAAAAATAACCAACCCATTAAAAAACAAAAAGGCTGGCAGAGTGGCTCGAGTGGTAGGGCACCTGCCTAGCAACTGTGAGTTCCTGAGTTCAAACCCTAGAACCATCAAACAAACAAAAAAGTTATGTAATAGTTGTTATACTGTATTGTTTAGGGAATGCTGATTTTTAAAAAGTCTGTACATGTTCAGTGTAAACAATTTTTTTAAAGTATTTTCACTGAACAATTTGCTAAATCTACAAACAGGGAACCTGCAGATATAGTAGGCCAGCAGTACTTGCTGAATAAATGTATGGCTACGGTAATACATGCTTAGGCTCTTGTCTCTTTCTCAGAAATTTGTTTAAATTTTATTCTCAATTTCCCATGTCTTTTAAGTATGAATGGAGAAGTGGGATGGAGTATGAGTACAGGGTTGGAGGAGATCAGATAAGTGGAAAGGAAAAGCAAATGATTTGTTTCCTGTGACTACAATTCAAGGTCTTTCTTAGTCTTTGTTTCTCTTCAGAGTTGCTAGTTAGGATCTAATTAAGAAAAATAAATAAAAACTAACTTGGTATATTTCACACAGGACATTGTACAATTCCATTAAAGTAGAATGAAATTTTTAAAAAGACATTGAGAAAGACATGAATAAATATTGAGAAAAATAAACAAATACTGTGAATAAATGTTAGGGAAACAAAGCAGATTAACTTCTTTGCCTTGTTGGACTTTACATTTTAGTGGGGAGAGAATGACAAGAAAGAAGCATAATTTTAAAAAGAAGTCAGACAACATTAAGTACTAGGAAAAAAAAGAACACAGGAGAGAGGAGCTGGTGGTGAAGGTAGTAGAAGTATAAAGAAAAGGTCTCACTGATGAGGTGTCATTTTAGTAAAACCATGAAAAAGGTGAGAGAGTTAAGTCATTTATCTTAGAAAAGAAGGTTTGAGGCTGAGGAAACAACACTATAAACAGCCAGAAGTGTAAGAAAGAAGTTCAGTGGTACGGAGCGGAGAAAGCAAAAATAAAAGCAGCAGAAATTAAAGTCAGAACAACAAATTAATGATGGGGAAATGATATACACACAGCCTTTAGGCCAAGGTAAAACAAATTTTTATTCTTACAACTGTGAATAAATTATTTACAACTTTATTTTTCCTTTGCAAAACAGCTATCATGAAACTGATACAGTAGAATGTTAAAAGTACTTTTCAAAGGCAAGATGAAGCAGCTTTTTATACATGTCCATGGTTAATTTTATATATTCTCTCAAATGCTTATTGTGAAGCTGATGTCTGGTACTATTACACTCAAGAGGCTCATACTTACAAAGACCAAAAAGTCAGTGTTCTACAAGTCACTAAAAATCCTTACTGCAAGTATTTACTTTTAAAAGGAAAGGAGTGAGTCAACCTTGAGCTTTTTGAAAAGCTTATCCTAGTTCTTAAAATGAAAAGTGGGGTGAGGCAACCATTCCATGTTGAATCAAATGTTTATGATAAAATGAAAACAAACAGAATTCTATGTTAAAGTTAAAATCACAGCAGTAGAGTTCTTACCAAAAGCCCTAGACATTAAAATAAAATGAAACTATACTGTTTCCAGCACATTTTTCAACAAAAAACGAGAAACTTTCTTGAACAATGTTTATGACCAAATATAAGACCTACTGCCTTATATTATTAAAGAGAAGATACCTCAGTTAAAATGAATTTTTAAATAGGATTTTTTTTCTCTTGAAAGTCCTTAGTTCTTAACTCTAACAACTTTTAGCTAAAAACTAGTGAGCAAGCATCCACAGATGAACAGGTAACTTCAAGGAAGTACATCAAATATGTAAGTCATAAAGAAACTAACAATATTAGCCAGATCTATGCCTAACCGCATTTAATTCTACATAATCATATAGAATGTTATAAAAAAACCAGATTTAAAAAATTTTATGAATTTATCATGGAAAAATTCTAAGAGAGCTACTATTTAATGAGATCTCCACACAAATTTTTTCTCTCTCAACTCTTCTGTACCTAACTAAAATGTCAAAGGAATGACACTACTCCAATTTCATTATGCATGTATCTATGCAATCTGGCAATACAAGATCAATTCAAGCCAGGAATGGTGGCACACACCTGTGATCCCAGCTACTTGGGAGCTGGAAACAGAAGGATTGTTGAGTTTGAGGTCGAGGTCAACCCAGGCAAAGTTAGAGAGACCCTATCTCAAAAATATAATACAAATAAAATAGCAGAGGGCATGGTTCAAATGGTAGAAACCATGCCTGCCTAGTATGTTTGAGGCTCTGGGTTCAATGGTTAGAATTGAATCCCCAGTACTGCAAAAAGAAAAAAATATAAACTCAACTAAATGCATCCTTTTTAAAATAAACATCATTATAATAATCTGGCTGTAACAAAAATATTTCTAAGCTCTGTATGACTGCCTGTTTTAGGACCATAGGCACTCCGATCACATAGGAGCTATTTAACAACTTCTAGTATTTCATATCATAAAAGACTTGAATAATCTAGAAGAAACCAAGAAATAAAGCATACTTCTTTAAAAGCATTTTAAGACCTTCAAAAAGTCAGAAATCCTGCTGGCACTGCCTGAAAAATATGTGTATAATCAGACTCTTTCTTACTTCCTACTCTGCTGCACTTGGTCTGAGCAACCATTAACTCCCTTTGGAGAAATGCAATTGTCTCCTAGTAACTCTGTTCAATGAGATCTGTTATGAATATTCTATATAATAACTTTTATAACACTTATTCACCCCTATTACGCGAATCTACTTTTACATTTTTCCATAGCACTTCATCTTCTCTCATACTGTAAAAGTTATTTGTATGTATTGCCTATTTTTCTTTCTCAAAATATAAACTCCACAAGGGCAACACTCTTTGTTCTGTTCTTTTGTTTTTGTTTTTGCCATACTGGGGTTTGAACTCAGGACCTCATGCTTGCCAGATAGGTCCTCTAAAAACAACTCAGAACAGGTTATCTGATCAGAATTTGTAGACTGAATAAATAAATAGATTTAAGTTTATAAAGTAATTATGAAGAACCAGGTTATGCAGTAAATAGTCAAATATGCTTGAGAAACATTAATTATGACAAATACATATAGTGATGATTACACAGAGGTTACCTTACCAGATAAAATAAGCAGTTCAATGATTTCTGCATCTCCAAGATAGGCAGCAGCATGTAATGGGGTTCTCTTTTCATTGTCCTGTGACAAGAAGGAAAGATAGAAGATCAATTTTAAAATAAGGTTAACTTTAATACAGTTTAAATGAAGAAAAACTGTCAACTTATTATTTCCAAGACTAGTCTACTCTGTAGGTCCATCCAAATAATAAAACATAGGGTATTTCCTTGCTAAAAAAAAAAAGGCCTTAAAAATGTTTTGAGGGCCTTAAAATAGTAGTTGGGGTTGAATGCACCTATTTTGAAAATCTGGACTGTGTGAAATCCCAAAACTTTTTGAGTGCTGACATAACACCAAAAGTGGAAATCCTATGTCAAGAAACCTCGTTTCATGCACAAAATTAAAAAAAAATGTTTTATAAAATCACCTTCAGAAGTCTATGGGTATAAGATGCATGTGAAACAAAAATGAATCTCATGATTAAACTTGGGTCTCATCCCCAAGAAATGTCATAATTTATATGTAAGTATTTTAAAATCCGAAACCTGAAACATTCTGGTTCTAAGCATTTTGGATAAGGGACAATCAAAAAGAATAAAAATCTAGATGACAAAGAAAAAGTTTCTTAAGACTTTTTTTGACTAAAGATGCTTATATGAGGATTGGCCAAATTTCTTTTAGATACTCCTCTTTTATTTTTTGTCAGTGTATTCCACAAATTCACAGATTAGAACTGTTGACTTAAATAAACACAAACCTTAACAACCACCAAATTTGCTTATCAAAATGTTTCCAGAGGAATACTCACTGTGGCACAAACAGAAAATATCTTTGGGGACTGGAATTATTCTTTAAAGTTTTTCATAATATTCTTGCTGTTTTTACTTTCATATCCAAAATACACACATGTATAAATATAATGTAAAGAACACATATTCTTCCAAATTTTCCTCTAGGAAGGGAAATTACATTTAGCGTGTTGTTTCATGGACTTCCACCTCCAAAACAACTGTTCTCCAGTTGGAGAAACCAAGATCTCAGAGACTGATTGATTGATACATTTATTACTTATTTATTTGGTACTGGGGGGTTGATCTCAGGTACGTGCCCTTGCTAAGAAGGCACCCTACAACTTGAGCCACTTTATCAGCCCTCAAGCAGGGACTTTTAATTAATACAACTCACTTAAAATTACAATGGCGTACTACTGATTTGGCTGCAAAAAAACTATTCACTTAGAAATACTTATTTTTAAATTTACAACCAATTGAGAGAAAAAAACTCATATGCCCCAGGAAGCAGAATGGACTGCAAAGAAATTACTCAACACTGAAACCTACTTTGTTAGCTGCTGAAAAAGCTAACAAAGAAATATCTCACTAACACTAAAATATAAGGATTTATACAGAGTGAGTACTAATTTAAACAGTATTCTTAGCCTAGGCTTTTCAGTGTTACTCATTAATACAGCAAAATTCCCTAATGTTTAAATATGATGAAACTCAGTCAAATTGAGAAACATCTATTGCACAGGATAGATCACACACACAGTGTAACAACATAGAAAGTGAGTCATTTATGTGTGAGGGATGTCTGGAATTCTATGATTCAGTACCTTAAATCCTACTAATGTATTTTATGACTCATACGAATGTAATTTTCCTCCTTACAAATCAAACTGAAGAAAAAGGGGAAACTTGTTAATTTTCAAAGAAAAAAAACTTATAGATCACATTTTACTTAACTATACTTAAATTCTGAAAATTAGGCAATAAAATATTTAATATTTCCTTCAGCAAAATGGCATTAAAATGAAAGAAAATGACTATCCCATTATAAAGTAATTCCATTTCAAGTAAGATGAAGAAATTTCTTCATGTGTATAGAATGAACAATTAAGCATATTGTTACAAGCAAAATGCTGGAAACGATGTCCCTCAATGGTTACCTAAAATTATGGAACACAAGAAGCTATTAATCAATCTTCATTTAGTGACTCATATAATTAACCAAGAATACTTGGTTTCCTGAGTAAAATGAATAATGATTTTGGCACACTAAGTATTTTGACTAGTAGTCTTCCACTAACAAACACATGCAATTTTGCACCCATAATAGGGTGTGTGCTTGTCAAGAGCAAGATGTGTTTGTCACCACAACTCTTTGTTTAATGGCCAGAAAACACATGAAAAAATGCTCACCATCTCTGGCAATAAAGGAAATGCAAATTAAAACCACGCTAAGATTCCACCTCACCCCTGTTAGAATAGCCATCATCAGCAACACCACCAACAACAGGTGTTGGCGAGGATGCGGGGAAAAAGGAACCCTCTTACACTGTTGGTGGGGATGTAGACTAGCACAACCACTCTGGAAAAAAATTTGGAGGCTACTTAAAAAGCTAGACATCGATCTACCATTTGATCCAGCAATACCACTCTTGGGGATATACCCAAAAGACTGTGACACAGGTTACTCCAGAGGCACCTGCACACCCATGTTTATTGCGGCACTATTCACAATAGCCAAGGTATGGAAACAGCCAAGATGCCCCACCACTGACGAATGGATTAAGAAAATGTGGTGTCTATACACAATGGAATTTTATGCAGCCATGAAGAAGAACGAAATGTTATCATTCGCTGGTAAATGGATGGAACTGGAGAACATCATTCTGAGTGAGGTTAGCCTGGCCCGAAAGACCAAAAATCGTATGTTCTCCCTCATATGTGGACATTAGATCAAGGGCAAACACAACAATGGGATTGGACTATGAGCACATGATAAAAGCGAGAGCACACAAGGGAGGGGTGAGGATAGGTAAGACACCTAAAAAACTGGATAGCATTTGTTGCCCTCAACGCAGAGAAACTAAAGCAGATACTTTAAAGCAACTGAGGCCAATAGGAGAAGGGGACCAGGAACTAGAGAAAAGGTTAGTTTGAGAAGAATTAACTTAGAAGGTAAAACACATGTACAGGAAATCAATGCGAGTCAACTTCCTGTATAGCTATCCTTATCTCAACCAGCAAAAACCCTTGTTCCTTCCTATTATTGCTTATACTCTCTCTACAACAAAATTAGAAATAAGGGCAAAATAGTTTCTGCTGGGTATTGGGGGGGGGGGAGAGGGAGGGGGCGGAGTGGGTGGTAAGGGAGGGAGTGGGGGCAGGGGGGAGAAATGAACCAAGCCTTGTATGCACATATGAATAATAAAAGAAAAAGGAAAAAAAAATAAAAATACATGCGATAAACATATAAACAAAGACAAAACCCATATAACCATCTCAAAGAAACATAAGATACAATCCAACATTCCTTCATTATAAAAGCTCTTGACAAATGGTAGAGATGGACTATACTTCAACACAATTAAAGTCACATATTAGAAACCCAGAACCAACATCACATTATACATGGGAAAAAAATAGTAAGTTGAGAAAGATTTTGTCAAAGGTACGGGACAGGAAAAGACAAGAATGTTCACTTTCACCATTCTTATTCAAGTCAATACTTTCTCAAAGGTACGGGACAGGAAAAGACAAGAATGTTCACTTTCACCATTCTTATTCAAGTCAATACTTAAAAAAGTTTTGAGCAGAGTAATTAGGCAAGAAAAAAAGAAAGGGAATCCAAATTGGAAAGGAGTCAAACTACTCTCATTTGCAGATAACAATCTTATAGAGAGAAAATTCTAAAACTCCACCAAAAACCTGTTAGAAATAACCAACAAATGCAGAAAAGTTGCACGACATAAGAGCAATACATAAAAAAAAATCCAATAACTGTTATATACCAACAATGAGCTAGCTGAAAAAGAAATCAAGAAAGCAATCTTGCTAGGTGTGGCTCAAATGGTAAGAGTGCTTGCCATGCTTAGTAAGCGTAAGACCCTGAGTACTATAAAGTAAGCAATCCCATTTACAATAGTAATAAATAAAAATAAATATAACCAAGGATGTGAAAAAACTCTACAATGAAAAATATAAAACACTGATGAAAGAAATTAATGAAAAAAAGACACACAAATGGAAAGACATACCATGTTCATGGATTGGAAGAATATTGTTAAACTGTTCAGACTAACAGATTCAATGCAATCCTTACTGAATTAATACCAAGAAAAAAACCATAAAATTAATATGGAGCCACAAGTGATCCTGAAGAGTCAAAGCCATCTTAAACAAAATGAACAAGGCTATAGGCATCACAATAACTGACTTCAAGACATACCACAAAGGTATAATATCTAAAAGAGCTTGATACTGGCATAAAAAAATAGACGTATCAACCAATGGAACAGAAAAAACCTAGAAAAAAATCCATATATTTAAAGTCAATTCATTTTCAACAAACACACATTGAAGAAGAGTCTCTTCAATAAATGCTTCTGTGGAAACTGGATATCTATATGCAAGAGAATGAAAATAGACCCCTACCTTTTACCATACGCACAAGTAATTCAGAACAGATCAAAGACATGTAGACCTAAAGTTATAAAACTCTAGAATATGGGGGAAACACTTTAGAACATTGGTTAAGTTCTTTTGGATATGCAACAAAAGCAAAAACTGACAAATGGGGTACACCCACGCAAAATACCCCTGCACAGCAAAGGGAATAAACAGTTAAAGGCAACCTGCAGAACAGAAGAAAACACTTGCAAATTATTCATCCAAGAAGGGATTAATATCAAGAATATATAGGAATTCAAAACCCTAAATAATCTAAGTTAAAAGTGGGCAAATGATCTGAACAGACATTACTCAAGAGACAATATACAAATGGCTAAGGAATATGTGAAAAAAAAGGTTCACCCAAACGTAAGAGAAATGCAAATCAAAACCACAGTAAAGTATCCTCTCACCCCACTTAGATAAAAAGAGAAATCAACAAAGGAAAAAACCCAGAGAAGTAATGAATCATAAAATCTGTTTTAAAAAAAATTAGTAATCTTCTATCCAGAATGAGCAAAGAAACAAAGAACCGGTACAGGAACGAAAGAGGGCATTATCATTAAACAAAACCTCAATACACAGGAAAGAGTAAAGGAATATTATAAATAATTCTATGCATATAAA